CCTGAGTGTTTGCCTGCGCCCGTTTGATTGTTCACCCCGTCGAATACGGGCTTTCTGTTTTTAACAGCCAGGACAGAACCTCGCAGGACATCATCAGAGTTACCATTCTACACCTCGTCTACCTTTGCCTTAGCTACGAAACGATTCTTGGCGAATGCTGGGAACCAATTGAGATCTCCACGATTGCATCAACAGCTTTCATACCCAAAGTCACACTTCTCTTCAGTCTCTAGCTGACAAAGCAGCTCTTGTTAGCAGAAAAACTGTTCTTCCAACACCAATCGTCATCGGCAAAGGCAGTTGCTAGGAACAAGGGGTCTTGTGACAGCAAAAGAAAAACATCAAAAGCAAAAACGAAAAAGCAAAGAGCAAAGTAGTTTATTCCAGCAAAGAAAAGAAAAGAAAAAAAGAACAAAATCATAGAAAAAGAAATCAAGTTACACTGACGTGCGTCGAATGTCATTATTCTCCGCTGGCCTCAGGAACTGGAAATCCACCCTCCCCCTCCTTCGTTGACTGTGCCCTACAGACAGGGTCGGACCTCGAGCTCACCTTACCGTCCGAGATGGAGACGGCGGTCCCAGTTACGTACAATGTTACGAACCATGACATGAACGCTGTTGCTCACCGCCGCATGATGGCTCCCCATCAACATCACCACCACCATGACCAGAATATCGCATACTTCTCAAATCCACCAATTCCATATTCGACCCCTCTGCAACCCCCTTCTTTTAGTGGCTTCGGCCACATTTTAAATAACCATCCGCATCATACCTCCTATCAGGGTTACTTCAATTCGAATCCGAGTCACCAGGTTAATTCCCATCATCCCCGACTGCCCACAGAGACAAACCCAGTGCAACAACTTTCAGATGTCCGCCATGTCAAAAACGCCAACCCGCGTTTGATCAGGCCTTCTCCTCCAAAGGAAGACACTCTCCCCCCTCCACCTCCGCAACGCATGTGCGTCCCACCAGCGCGAAATACAACACAGCATGAGGACTCGAAACCTATGCACAAGCCCGAGGTGGTGTTTGGGACAGAAGTGGATACTTTGATGAAGGCCATACAAGCTAAACCGCAACCACCGTCACCTCAGGCGGAACACCAACTCCCTCCCTTGCAACAAAAGTTCAATAGCGGCGTCACCAATTGGATTCATCCAGCCTACGCCAACCAAATGGGTGGAAACCAGTCTATTTTCCCTAACCCCCCTCAAGATCGCATTCCGCCCGCGAACCAAAAACCTAAAAGGAAATACGATTGCACTCTCCCTCATTGCAGGAAGAGCTTTTTCCAGAAGACACATCTTGATATCCATATGCGGGCACATACCGGTGACAAGCCTTTTGTAAGTCAGCGCCTGGGCAGCCACCTTTTTCGATAATGTCAGGAAATGCAGGCTCATTATGGATATTGCGTACGTAGACATGCAAGGAGCCCTCGTGTGGCCAGCGGTTTTCTCAACTGGGGAATCTTAAGGTGAGTTGGAAAAATAGATAGATATCCCGCGTCTCGAACCCACGCGTTAGATTCTTACAACCGCATTGTTCAGACTCATGAACGAAGACACACTGGCGAGAAGCCTTACTCGTGCGAGATTTGCCATAAGAAATTTGCCCAGCGAGGCAATGTCCGCGCCCACAAAATCACGCATGAGCAGGCAAAGCCCTTTACATGTCGGCTAGACGACTGTGGGAAACAATTTACACAATTAGGAAATCTTAAAGTCAGTATTACCTGGTTAACCCAATGCTGCACGGACACATCCATTTCACTCTTGAAAACAGAAAGCTAAAAATTCCGATAACAATACAGTCTCACCAAAACAAATTTCACGCCCAAACTCTCCGAAACCTAACCCTACGATTTGCATCCATTGCCGACATCGAGCGTATGTCTCCACAGGACAAGGAGTTGTGGAGCTACTTCTCCAACCTATACCGGAATAGCAATAAGGGCATCAAAGGCCGTGGCAAGGACCGCCGCGTATCAACTGCCAAGCGCTCAATGAGTGCCTATGATGGGAGCCCCTCGGAAAGCGAGGATGATGGCAAGGACCGCAATCGAACTTATGACCGCGCATCAGCAGTGATGACCTCCAACAACGACGAACCGGATTATCGTGAGCAGCTTTACCACAATAGGAACGGTGGTCATCATTGAGAAAGAACTATACCACTCTCGCCCTGTGCGAAAACCATTATGGATACCAGAAAAATTATGAACCGGAAGACCTGACCGTTTCAAGTAGACGTGATTCGTAAGGTACAGCCGTTTCGGTTGCGGTTTTAGATACGTGCCCTACATCGACTGCCAGCGCAGTATATTATTACCGGCCCATTCCCAGTCATACATATTACCCGAGGTGAGAATGACATGCATGAGCTACTCGAATTTTATTGCACGCTGCACACCGGTATTTCCGTTTCCTGCAACCCCTTTCTAGGACCGTTTTCCTCTTCCTGTCCACTTCCGGCAGGAATTATTCAGCGGTTTACCTCTTTGCTTATTTGACTGGAATCTTGTCCATTTTTTATATCTAAATACCTTTTTATTTCCCTTTTTTTCACGTTTATCTTTAATTTTCTGTTTCCCCTTTTTCCTCTTCAACTCTATATATCTCTCTGACATATACGCTGCTTTGGATTCGGATATGAATTGTTTTTCTCATCTAGGTTTTGTTGTATGCCTGTTGTTTCGTCTGATAGCACATTGACAACTGCCTTTTTCTACAGTGGAGTGGAAAGGAGAAAAAATGAGGATGTAAGCAGGGAGGGAGAGGAAAGCGTTGATCATCATGGCCAACAATCATCGTCAAATCCATGCAATGTTGAATTTTGTGCATAGCATCTGGACTGTGGCTTTTTCGGGAACCTTTTGTTGTACGTCTGTGTTGTTAGTCCACATACACGCTCTACATGTTCTGCCTCGAGACACTAGAAATGGATGGGTGGGTGCGGGGCGGTGGGCGAATATCTGAACAAACGGAAGGGTGAAAATAACATGAGGGGGAATGGGAGAATATAAGACATTCATCCGGTATTCATGGTGTTGTTGTATGGACATGGGAAATTAATACAGCAAGGTGTTGGGGGATCGGATTACCTATATATTTTGTTCGGGGTTCACCTTCCTTTTTATTATACCAGGGTTTATCATATATTATTATGTATATTTGCATTTAATTTGGTGTACGTGATCTCCAGTTTGATTTCTTGGTTTCTTGGTTCCCGGGATATCTGAAGAGTAGTCTGCCGAAAGGAAAGAAAAGGCATTTAGATACGAGGACAACACTACGCCTCACGATCGAGTAAATCAGCGAGGAAAGCAACTTGAAACTGCACAACAAAAACCGCCGAATGACTGTCCACACCTGATGTCCTAAAATGAGGGAGGGTAAAGCCTTTTTGACATTGACGAACACCATTCACCTCACAAGACCAGCGAATCCACCTCAAAACAAAGGCTACCAACTCTCCTCAATATATATAGAGCGTAGTATCAAACCTGCGGATATGTATAGGCAAGCAAATAAAATCAGATCCCTGTGGTAACCCCCTCTTCCCCGAAGTCACACTACCGGACCCATCGACAAATGAATCCTAACATTTTCATAAACCAAAAAAGTGACCCAGGTACTTGGCAACACACGCAGCAAATTTGGTCCCAACCCTTTATAAAACCCCATCACACGTTCTCTGCGCCATATCTGGCCGATCGCATCTATCACTCCGCGATACGTTCCAGCTGCATCGTACGTCTGCAGGCGGGCTTTAAGCACCTGGTACGGATACGTCACGCAGCCAGCGAATACCTTGGACGTGCCGGAGAGAACAAGATAATCCATGTTGCCTAGTTTGAGGTCTTTGGTTGTCGTACCTCCATTTACGTTTCCGTTTCCAGACATGCCGACGACAAATGACGGCGCTGCACGGCATTGTTTGAGTTTTTCGTAGGACATGAACTGGAGGGCACCGTGGCTCACGCCGAATAGGGCGGGGATCATGCCGCGGTAGAAACCCATAACTCCTTCAGAACGGTATATGGAGCGCGCACCTGCAACAAGAGAGGGGTAGGCGCCAGGGACTTGTGAGCCGGTGGAGAGCATGCGGGTTTTTATGACCCAGATCGGATTGGTGAGAAAAGCTGTTAGTACGCCTGCGAAGAACAGTGTTAGTTATCCATATTATACCAAGGACCGAGTCTATGGAAATTGGATTGTATAATACCTGCAGCCCCAGATGCGGCGAAGTAATCCAACGATCCCAACCCTTCTTCCTTCCTTGACCCGTGCAAGACATGTAGGGTGTCCTTAATATTGCTATACCAGAGGAAATACAAACCCCAGCTCACTGAATTCCCCACGATATTTGGTGTGAGGCCCCGATAGAAGCCAGTTACGATGCCACCCTCATTTTGCACGATGCTGCGAGCGATGCGGAGCGAGCTGCCAATTCGCGAGGTGGAGAAACGGTCCACTGCAAAAACCAAAAAAAAAGTTATTGAGTGCTATCTTCTACCAGGATAGCGGAATTGTAGGTTAATAGAGACACTTCATATGCTGTACCTTGGAGTCTCGTCTTGATCACATCGAGGGGGTGAACCACGAGGGTTGACGAAATGCCAGCGGCGAAGCCAGCTATTGTCTCGACAACTGATGGCGACAGGCCATGGTTACCATTCATGGACTCCTTTTGAGAAGTCCGTAGAGGACCCTTCGGCTCTCCCCAGAGCCACGAAACGGTCTTTCTATTTTTCTCGAAGACTGAGGTGGCAGTGGTGTTGTTGGTGTTGGTTGTTTGGATCTCGGTGAGGTCAAGGATGAAGTTCGCCCGTTTTTTTAAATACAATAAATTTGCTCTAGAATCAACTATCTGAAACGAAAGGACGGACACTTTACACAAGGTAATAAGATCGAGACACACTTTAGAAGCTTCTCGGGAAACCAGCCTTAATTATCTTTCACAATATAGGGGAAAATAGATCTAGTTGATGGCAATCCAGCCTAGCAGACTTTGGAGCCTTCGATAACCTTTGATATTGCCATAAAAAGTAAGAACAACAAAGCGAAAAGAAGACGACTAATATACAAATGCTTCCAACTCCAGATTCTAGTTAGAGAAATAGTAGAGGAAACATCTAGTGCCCAGCACCCCTCCACCTGCGCAAGCGTTGCACCAGAATTCTGCGTGCTAAGGCCATTTCAGACGCAAATGCTCCTTGCCCATCCCATAGGCAAAAGACTTTCCGTTATGGTTTTTACGCTCAACTACAGCATTCTCTCTCGAAAACCAGCCAGCATCCAGGTCATCTCATAAAAATTGGTTGAGTTCATGCGAAGGGCGAGAAAAGCCTGAGAACGAGATGTCTAAGTGAGTTTATGCCTTTTGAATTTACGGACAGTGAGAGTGGAGCGTGAGAGTATGTACTTCAAGAGTTGCGGCCGCGGCTCGCTATATGTGTATCCTAATATTTGTTAGTCAAACAACTGTCTATATATTGAAGACAGAGGGCGATCCCTACCAAGGTAGATGATGAAAGGCAGATATCCACTGCAACAGGTAAATGGGAATGATCAGTAATTTAGATTAAGGATGAAATAAAGCAGTTTCCCGGGAAATCAACTCACTAATGAATAGCCACTCTGGATATGCCGATAACCTTGGAAATACGTTCCTTTCCTCGGGTCAGTAGAAGATAATCTTTTGCGGAAGCATAGTAAGTAGCTCACCTTGGTCTCTTCGGAGAACTGAACCATTTTGTGACACGTTGTAGAATGGTATAATACAAATATAGCTCAGCCTTTCGTTTGTGACTAATGGTAATTTTGGGGAGTTCTTGTAGATATTTTAACTGCGGTCAGGTTGTCTGAGAAGTTGAAGATTGATCGGACCAGGTTTTCGCCGAGAAAGGAGCTCAGGCCAAATCGGGCAATTTCCAACCACGAAATTCTTTTCTTCTTACTGACTGATACGTCCACCCAAATACATCCAACAAAATTACAGATTGTTGATAGACAGCAGCATACTTTTTCTTAAGATAGCAATCACCGGTGTTACGGATCCTATCTCTCCACCATGGCTGGAGTCCGACATTGGTGCGAAAAACAACACTCAACCCCCCCAGTGGAAGGCGCTGACAATATATTCACAGGGAGCAAGACAAAGAGGCCACCGTATACATCGGGAACCTGGACGAGCGTATCACGGATAGCCTAGTCTGGGAATTGATGCTCCAAGCCGGCCGCATTGTCAACGTTCATCTCCCCAAAGACCGCGTCACCCAGACCCATCAGGGCTATGGGTTCGTCGAATTCATCAGCGAGGAGGACGCCGAATATGCTGCTCGAATTATGAACCAGGTCCGCCTCTACGGGAAGCCCATCCGCGTAAACAAGGCGTCCGCGGACAAGCAGAAGACGGTCGAGGTTGGTGCGGAGTTGTTTGTGGGCAATCTTGACCCAATGGTTACAGAACAGGTGTTGTATGATACGTTCAGTCGTTTTGGGAGTCTTATATCTGCTCCAAAGGTATGTTACCTGCATTATTCCGGCTGCCACTCATTTATTTAAGTAAACTAAGTGTCATGGTGCTAGATTGCACGAGATGATGCGAACCTTTCTAAGGGTTACGGTTTCGTCTCCTTCTCCAACTTCGAAGCCTCGGATGACGCCATCGCAAATATGAATGGCCAATACCTCATGAACAAAGAAGTCTCCGTCCAATACGCGTACAAAAAGGATGGTAAGGGTGAACGACATGGCGACCAGGCCGAACGCATGCTCGCTGCCCAAGCTCGAAAACACAACGTGCAGCCCCAAGCGCAGCCCTTGCCTCCGCAACTTGTCGGAGGCGGGCCAGGCGTGCATCCGCATCAAATGCCCCAACCGCCAATGGTTGAGGGCGAGGGCACTAATGCGGTCGCCGCTGCTCGAGGAATAAACCCTGTTGCCGCTGCTGGTGGTCCACCAGATTTTGGCGGTGGGCGGGGAATCCCCATTGGCAACGGCGGCGGCTACCATCACAATCAGCAAATGCCACCAGCGCAACACCAACACCAACATCCCCATCCCCATCCTCACCCACCCCAACATTCACTCCAACACCACCGACCACTGCCACATGCGCATCATCCACCTCCACCCCTTTCCGCTCCCCCTCCAGGGCTGCCTGCCAGGCCTCCTCCATCTCAAGCGGGATATGGCGGTCCCCCACCGCAGGGATTCGTTCCCCCTCCCCGCTTCGGTCAGCAGCCGCCACCAGCCAGCTTTGGCCCAACCCCGACTGCAGCAGGTCCGCCTGGTGCTACACCTCCCCCGCTTCCTCTTGGGTTTCAGCAGCCGGGGTATGGAAGGGGTCGGTGATTCGATATGGATTTCCGGGCTTAGTTACGTCTGTTACATCACAATTGCGGCTATTATATTTAAATGGCTCCGGAGACAGTATGCTGTTCTCTGGAATGCGGCTTGACAAATGCACATCACCGGAATAAATGATATGTCCATCGCTCTTGCCAAGAAATGGCCATTCCGCCGTCGTTATTTATGAGCTTCTTGAAAAATCGAATGGCTCCAGCGCATTAGAAAGCACACGGATGGAAACTACGCGCAACGCAAGGAGAGAAGGAAATGCAGAAATTTATCGATCCGATGTCGACGCATAAATAACACGCTAGATGTCCTTGGGCCCCAGTGATTCATTCAATAGGACACGACCTTTACACATGCACAATACATATGGCTGTTCGATAGGGCTGGAGGGCTAAGAAAGTGAGGTCAGGAAAATAAGTATGGATGTATATACTTAGATGAAAGCTGCGTTACATTATGTCCATGGACTCGGTTCGACAACCGAAAACTCAAAATGAAATAAGAAAAGTTAGTGGACAAGAGACGAAAAAACTTGGAAGGAAATGACGTTTTTCAAAGAAATGATGGGGATCCCTGTGGTCAGGGGAGCATGTGTTGATAGCTGTAGATAGGGAAATGGCAAATGGAGATTATGTGATATTTGTCAGAACGCAGATTGCAAAATCAAATCAAAGTTCATCGATGATATATGGAAAGACGAGAAAAGGAAAAAACAAAAGAAACAGAAACAGAAACAAAAAATTCCAGCTTAACCTCCCGCTATGCCATTGTATCCAATTACCATATGCATACATCTCATACTTAATCCCTCTTTGCTTTTGTAAAAACAAACACAAAAAACTCTACGAAAACGAAACAAACTTCGGGTCCCTCGGCCTTCCATCAGGCCCAATACCATTCTTCGCAAAGCGCCGCTCCGTATAAATCCTCCTCGCCTCATTGAAATTCACACGTTGCCGCTTCATGATCTTCAGAACTTCACGCTTGGCGATGTGGTCGAGTCCCCCGCGCTCATCACCTGTTTCTATGTTGTTGGAGAGATCGAAGTCGGCGGAGGAGAGGCCAGCTTCCATGTCACCGGTGAAAGATTCGGGGAGGGGGGAATAGAGATAGTCAGGCAAGGGGAGGAGGGGGAGCCAGAAGGTGCGGGTTAGGTAGAGGGCTGTCATGATGTTAGCTAGAGCAGGAGGAAGAGGAGTATCAGGGGTTGGAAAGATTAGGGCGAGTGAATAGACATACCCGTGCACGTAATGAGTATTAGGAATGTGAGATAATAGAGGACGTAAGACATTGTTTCTGTATTACTGCCGAATATTTATAGAGGGGTAGCGGTTATGGAAGATAGAATAGGTGGAATGAGTTGTTTTCGCCTCAATGCGCCTAGTTGTGGTTGAAAACGAGCGTTGGAATGTTCAATAATAATAATAACGAGCACAAAAATTGAGCCTATTGAAGAAGAGGATAAAATAAAGGAAAGATTAGAGAGTATGAAGGAGTATGACGTTTAGGCGGTTAAAAACTGTGAGATCATTTGCAGATCAGGGAATGAATGGTGTCTTGAGAAAGCCCGATGGAGCACAGCTATTGCATGTTCAGTAGAGACGAACTAAGTCTGACTGGGATGAGATTCTGGAAGTCGACATGGACAGTATATCTGCTCTGCTAGACCCGTTAATCCAGTTGTATATCATATAGCATCATGTCGTTTTTTTGCCTTTGGCTCTGCTGCTTCAACGGTTGATCATGCTGCGGCTCAAACGCTGACTCAGCAGGCTGCATCTGTTGGAGGGATTGGATTGGGTACCAGGGCGCTCCAGCGGCCTAACAGAATCTGCCGTTGCGGATTATAGTAATTCCGATGTTGAATACTTTGTTCCCGACTGCCAAGACCTGCGAACACACACAACTTGATCGTGATCAAAAGGACGAAAAAGTAGCCTACTATCACACCACCCCACCTGCTCGACCCGGTTCGACTCCTCCAACTCGCATCATGTCGTACGCAGGCAGATCTAATGTTTCGGACGACCTCGTCTGGGAGATTGTCCGTACGTTGCTACCTTGATTTTTGAACTATCCGGAAGCAGCCGTGGACTGATTGTGAGATTTGAGTTAAAAGGTGCCCAGAACTCGTTCCTGGTGAAGCGTCCCGGCTGCCAATTCTCCCGTGACCCTCTTAACCTGGCCAACAAGCACTCGCGAAAGGTTCGCACTCCTTTATATATGCGTATCTACGTATTGTAACCTGAGCAAAACTGACGAGTGGCGGCTTTCCCTGATATATAGTATGCCGGCTTCGCAAACTCTAAGGTAAGGGCATCAATTTTCCCACTGAGGAAAACGAGACAGCAGACAATTGGCGTTACTATAGAGGAAGTGAATAATATGAGACTGATCATTTTTTGGTGATGGAAATATAGGCCATTGGAATCCATCTCACTGAGAATGGAAACGTTGCCGTTACCACCAAGAAGCCAGGCATGAGCAACAAACCTGCCTCCAACGCTATCACCAACACCTACAGTTCCACTGCTGCCAGCCGAAAGTAAGCTTGATCCTTTCACGCGTCTGGTTTCGGCCATGGGAGATAAGGGAGAAGAATTGAGATGGGGAAGCGCACACGATTTTGTTTTTCGCTTCTGAGGATGAATTGGCTGATACGCTTTTTTGTTTAAAATAAAATACAAACAGGATCTACAAGGGAGTTGCCAACACCACCGCCAAGAGCGGATACCGCCCTGATCTCCGTGCAGTCGCCGTCAGCCGTGCCAGCGCCCTCAGAGCCTCTCAAAAAACCAAGAAAGAGGCTCCTGCGAAGAAGCCCAGAGGTGTCAAAGCTCGGAAGGCTGCGGAGGAGTCGTCTTAAAGGGGGTTCTTTTTCTATTTGATAAAATCACTTGACGGAAGTGTATATTTAAAAGTGAATTTGATTGGAATTTTAAATTGTTTGAAATTAAAAAAAAATCAAGGGAAATATAAGCATCTTCTCACTTTTATCAATTATATAAAAACCCTCTCAACAAAAATGTAACAGGCATATTTTCGATTAACAATTAAGCACTATTCTATATACAGTTTATGAATTGATTAAAAAATGAAAGAAAGGGAAAGAAGATCAGAAAGAAAAATCATATAAAAAAAGTTTTTATAAAAAAAAAATTGAAATGAAAAAAAATTAAAGATCATGCTATTGTAATGAAGGATTTGATGCAGGTAAAATTTTCATTAAAAATTCCTTTCTGCAAATATCTATTTTATCAGCACTGAATAAGTCTCTTTTTCAATGAATGAACATCATAATGTAATGCACTTGCTTATATGAGAGGGTTTAACCTTGGTTGGGTGTTATGATCTATTGTAGAAGGAAGCAACACAATATGTTGGGGGGCATGTGATAGGGTAGCCGTAGTACCCCCTAACACCCCCCCGTGCTACGGCGCCGCCAATGCTCTGCCGCCGGGGCCCTCCTTTGCTCAATTCTTCTAAAAACACAATAACAATTAATTACAAGATTTGGACCCTGATTTCCTCTTTGAAAATAGATGTCTGTACAGCAATAATTGTAAAAAACAGAATAACACAAGCAAAATTTTATAATCTGCTGTATCATCATTATTTTCAATCTTTTTTGCCAATCTTTATAACTCAATTCTTCTAACAAATTCTTCAAAAGCAAGTCTTGTCAGTGGCTTGATAAGGCTGTCAGCTATATTGACTGTAGAATCAACATGTTTCATTATAATTTCACTTTTCTCAATTAAATCACAGAAAATATGATATTTGATTTTAATATAATGTGATTTTTTTATCATAAACTTTTTTTTTGTTAAATTTATTGCACTTTTATTATCAATTTACAAATGTGAGTATATCTTCACTTTCTCTTTTACTAATTCAGCATCATATAATATATTATTTAATCAAATTACTTCATATACTGGTTTATTTACTGTGATATACTCTGTTTCAATAATTGATTTTGCAACTGAGATCTGCTATTACAATCATTATGATTATTATTATTATTATTATTATTATTCTTCCATTATACTCGTATGCAAGCAGTGCTTATGACGAGTCCTTGTGTAATGTTAAATACAGGCAAGAGTTGGTTATACAGGAGAAATGCTTAGTGTTGAATGACGCCAAGAATATAACAGGCACATAGGAAAATTAATGAAAGTCAGGATTTGATACTCATGCCTCATTTAACAGAATAATATAATTTATAATTGATTTATATTGAAAATCCACCTTTGCTCAATCTGAATTACTGTATGTGATAAAATTGAGTTTCTCAATCATCTTCTTTTTATATAGAATACTGTGATTTTTTATTTTTTTTTAATGTAATATAAAATATGCTTTAATACTGCTCAGCATTTTTTTATATAGCCGGCTGGCTGCAAACCATTTGACAACCCCCGCAGCAGTTCCACGAGGCCGGCCTGCTGAGTACACCCAAGGTAGCTAGTGCAACTGCCAGGGACATCACAGTCTATGCAGATAGTACAGATAGCACAACTAGGCTCATCTGTCTCAATTAGCTGTGGTGTAATCAGTACAGTCTACGTGTCTGACTCAGCTGATATGGTTTTGACTGCCGGCATTGTATCTACGCGTGCTCTGCTTTGTTTTCCTCTCGTTTGCCCTTGTCTCTATCGGCTCAAATGCTTCTTCTTCCTTCTTTTCTTTGCTCTCTCTGTCATTCTCTGCTCGTTTCCTTTCACAACCTTCTTCAGTGCTCTCTCCTTCATTATTTATCTTGTCTGTCTTTCTTCTGATGTTAGAAGCACAGACAGCTTTCTGATCAACTGAGAGAGGTATCCCTCTCTGCTCACTATAAAGCCTTCCAGGCACGGCAGCGGCGGTCCCATCAGGGAACCACACTATAGCCCCACCATGAATGGCCATACGTCGGGCCAGAAGTGGATGCGCAGCTCAGAAAAATCCTTTGAAATGAGCTGAGTCTTCTCAAGAGTTGCCACCTGGATTCTGTTTTCTCTCTCTATGTACATAGAAATCTCTCCAGCGTAGCACGTCTCCATGCCCTTCAGGAGGCTTCTGAAACACGGGCGCTGCCCGTGTTTTCTCCGGGACGTTAAACCTATACATACATACATACATACCATGTTAATTCAATCCTCTACAACATACATTATCATGCAGTTGGTTATTCTGCTAAATTCATTGACAATGCCCATCATTCAATCTGTATTGAGTTGATGGTGTATGAGATAGTCATATTCATCTAGTCTAGCTGTTCAATTAATGAGTTTAATATTCTCCGTATTTTTTGTCAAAGCTGCTCATAAGGTGTTGTTGTCTGTGTACAAATGAAGTTTATGTGAAGATTCAACCACTAGCCAGCGGATCTCTGTTAAAGTTCTGATCATGATCAGAACCTCTAATTCATTGCTATGATATCTGATCTCCACATTCATCAATTTAAATAAAATTCATTGAACTATCTGCAGCTTGTCATAGTTCTTTAACACCAGCTCATCACTCAGCTGGCTTTCTTTTATTTAAAACAAAACTTCTTTCAACTTTATTTTCAATGCATCTGTGGTCAAATGATAGGCCAAACTGAGGTCCGTGGAGCTGCATACATTATTGATTATGACATTCTTGATGTAGTTGAATTCCTGTTGATGATTGTTAGTTCATTTCCAATCCTTATCCACTCATACATTACAAATAAACAGACTCTTCACTTGCAGTCACTGAGGCTTTTCATTAAATTCTCATCACACTCTTCAATATCTGACTGCTTCTTTGGCTTCAACAGCGATGCCTTTACCTTTTTCAAATATGCAGACTTAAGAATCAAAACACAGTCAGCTCATTCTGATATAAAATTTCATAAGAAAGATGTCAACCACAAGAACTCATTCAACTTCTTTCAATATGTTGAGATGAATCACTTCTTCACTATTCTTTTATACTTCAGCATCAATCAGATACCATCTGCTCTCTCTGAAAACCCCAGAATATCAATTGACAATATAATGATTAGAGTCTTTCTCAGGTTGAGACAGATGAGGCCAAAAGCCACTTGTGGAAAATATATATCATGCATAAATTGAAGCATGCTGTCGAACCCAGTTGCTGCCATGCTGTGGTCATCCATAAATGATGCAAACACCGCCTTGCCATGGTCCTCTATTGCAGAGGGAAAAGTGATTGCATTTTTATCTCTAAATATCAGTCTGAATACCATGTCTGTGAACTGTGAGTAGATATAAGGCATGCTTGTCAATTCTTATCTCATTCACATGTAAATATACTGACTGATCAGTGACACTATTTCTGCTTTATATTCATCCTCTGCACAGATTGGGATTGCTCAATAGCTGTTAGACATATTCATCACTGAGAAGACTGTAAACTTCAGTTTAAACAAAATATCCATGATAACATCAATTTTATACATAGAGTAGACCGATTTCCATGTACTCATATTTAATGATTAAAAATTGTTAACTATTCTTAATTCTGTGGACTCTTTTTTCTTCAGAGAGAACCTGGTTGCTGCTTTTCAATCACTAGCCATATAAATTAAAATGCCCGCTTCCTTCAGTTATGGAAAAACTTTCACAGTGAATTCCCTTTCTTTGACTGTATATTGTGACATAGCGTGCTTAATCAGTTTAGCACTATGAGTAAGATTAATTGAGTGCTTGATCAAATTAATAACCTTGATCTGAGAGAGTTCTGTGACAAAACAATTCTTCCATGTGAATAACATTCTCCTCATCTTCAATTGTCACTCCTTTGTATCAGTCATGTCCTCTACTGTAATATCAGAATTCTTAAATCATGCCTCTATCACTATTTCATTCTTCATCATTAATGCCCTTCTTTGAAGTCGCCTCTTTGTCATGAATCTCCTCTCAACTCTCAAATTGAATGATAAATGAGTCACCCCCTCCCATCAACCTGCACTTTATTCTGACATTATCTCTCTCATATACATCAATTTCCCCCTTTTTGCAGCCTCTTCATTTACTTGACTTATCATAATGTGTGTCACTTGTGATTCATGATCTTCTGAGTTTTGATGTTTGCTCTTTCAAACTGCTGTCTCTTTCATTCATGGGATATATAATGAATCTTCGATTAGTTCAAGACAAAAGGGGTACAGTCATTGGATGTCAACTCATTTAATCAGATTAAATTGCTGCTCTTCAGATCTCCTCTGAGCTGTCAGAGCAAGATAATTCAGAGGTAGTTATTTTCTGACTCCTCATCAGATTTCTCTCCATTCATAATGTACTGCAAAGTCTCATCCACATCCTCCCACTCACTGTCTTTCACTTCATCACTTTTTATGAATGGCTGATTTATCAGCACATTCTTGATGATCTGTATTAGTACCACAAGACTTTTCATCTACTTGATAAATTCATTGTGATTTTTTATCTGAATCTTCTCAGTCTCATAATCAGTGATCAACTGCACTCTTTAATATATAGACCTTGATCATTGCCCAAATGCCCAAGAAATTAACTGGGATCAGGACAGCACGATCTAATATAGCAATATTACTGTTGATTAAACTAATCAGACATGGTTTCACAGAGTGAATTGATCAGATTGGGAACTGCCGGATTACTTGCTCCACTATTATTTCAATCAATGAGCCACCATTGACCAGTGTCTGAGGCACCTTAACCTTATCAATCCATGTTGTAATGAAGAGGGCCTCACTATTTCCATCATCTGAAAAGGTATCAGTGACTATGACAAAAGAGAGTGTCTGATTTTTAAGAATCACAGCACTTGCTACTGCTGTTCTTGCATTTACTCCCTCAACCACTCATCAATAACACAGAGCAGCACTTTGCAGATGCCATGCAAATTCTCAACAGACAATCTTTGATTTATTCAGCAGTTGAGTTAACAGTACTGTCATCTTCAGCTTTATAAGTTTCTGTATATTGAACCTCATATTTCCTCCTTCAGTGATAGCTCGGATTGATGGGGGGATGTGAAGCAGTCTCTAATTCATTTCCACCTGATCTTCACTCTTATCATTTCACTGCATTGATTGATTTGCTGACTCTGAAGCCATTGATGAGATTTCCTCTGCCTTCATTGACAAGAGCTCTTCACTCATTCATTTTGCCTCTCATTTTCCACTCACTTTGATGATCTTATCGACTCAGTGGACCTCTCTTATCTTAGCTTTTCCTTTGTTCACTGCTCTTTTCACCACTCACCTGCTAATAGTCTCCTGCAATTGTGGCCCCTTTACTGCTGCTTTCCGCGGCTGTGATGCGGCGCTGGTTAGGTTCACTGATAACACATATACTGCATGGGAGACTTCGTCTTGTGGGTCACACTTTTTCAACATGGTATGAGTGGGTACTGCTGAAGCTTGTTACAGAATCTGAAGCAGTTGATTTGATTTATTCAAGCAATTAAATGTGTAGTGGCTCAACTGCTGACAAGTGAAGCAGATCACCATCTGTGGGGCAGAGGTCATTCTTCATACTTTTCTTCAGAGTGGATTAAATGCTAATGAAACATTTAAATCTGAAATTGATTGACTCTTCACAATCTGACCTTCCATTTACCCTTCTGTGCAATTGCCCCGGTTCATCAGTTGTTTGTTAATGGCCATCATTTGCCTCATCAGCTCTGAAAAGATTTTCAAGATTCTTTTTATTAAGTTCTCATTCAAAACTGATCTGAGAGTAATTAAATTGATAGAGGTCATTTTAACTGTGCTGATCAGTTGACTATTTTCCGTATAAATCTGCCACACTATCTATTTTCTTCACATTGTGAAAAAAATAGTTTCAACAGCACTCAGTCCTCACCAGATCCCGTCTATTCTCATTTCATAAATCTTGAATCAGCACATATTTCAAGTTCACAGTCTTCACATTCATCAAACTGATGACCTCTTCAGCTCAGATGATGTAATCTTCAATCTCTTCATTCTTCTTCTGCTCTACTAAGCTTTTCAATAAACTGTTAGTGGTGTTCGCTGCTGCAGAATTTGGTGTTAGAACTTGCATTGAGAAGACACTCTCAGCTGAACTTTTAGAGATGTCAGCCTCTCAATTTAGTTCCTCTTCTTTAAAACTATTCAGTGGAGTATGTGGAGACAATGATGATTTTTCATCTCTTTTAGTTGTGTTATCAGCAATCACTTGTCTTTGTAAAAGACTCCCCCTTCAATAATATGATGCTCTCAGACTCTGAGCAGTAGAATGGGGTGTGCCTTTATAACTCATTCCTTGCTCTTCTACCTTGTCTCTCTCTACTACTCATCTTGATGGCACAAGGCAGGCCTTTTTAGGGACGCCACTTGACAGCTCAGAATTTTCTCAACAATTGCAGTGAATGAATAAATCATATATCAGCTACTTCTTAAAAGAACATACAAGAGCATCTAGAGAGGGTTGTAGAATCTTTTATATTTTCTAATTTCTAAAAATACATAAGAATTGAGGGGGGTTACTACCCTTTTAACTGTGGAGGTCTGGAGGTCGGAGACCTCCATGGTCGCCGACCACGTGGTCGCCTACCATGTGATCTCACGTGACCAACATGACCACCTACCACCTACCCCCTCACAATACGTTGGAACACGAAAATCGATCAGAGTTTTCTCAAACAGAGAAACAAGAATAACTCAAGCAACTGCAAATCAAATTGAACAAGATTTTAATAGATTATCAATATAAGATAGATCTATCTCTGGTCAAAATCTGAGTTGATTTGACCCAGTATTGATGGAGTAATTTGATGAAATGTTAAAAATCCGCCCAAGCAGATGCCAAAACACTATTCATCCAATATCTCCATCAAAACTTCATCAAATCTTTTCAAATTTGCAGCAATTACTGATGAAGGCAGCAAGAATCGATTGAGGGTACTCGCGTTGTCTAATTCGAAGAATTGAGCTCGTTCAGGGTTTTACTCTGTTCCAGATTTTGTCTGCTGACTATGAGTGTAGCCTTAGATTTGTAGACTGAGATTAATCGTTGTTGATAAAACTGCATATTTAATCAGACAGTCTGCTTTCTCATTGTTCTCTATTTTTATATACTTTAAGAATCATTTCAAATCTACATTGTGCTGTCTGAGAAGCTCATAACAGCAGTTGAAGACTCAGCATGAGAAAGTTGCTGTATTGCTCTGTATATCTCAGATGACTGAGATATTATCAAGACAAAGTCAGATTTAAGAGTTGATGCTGTTATTTATAATTTGAAATAAAAGCTTCACTGTATACTTCAATGCTTAGTAGACATTGACTGTTTCAATATTAAAAATATATGATATAAAGCTCAATGCTGCTGAGAAACTAATCAGCTACTTATCTCTCTGATAGATCACAAAATCATAACTCATTTATCTGATATTGTTAGAGCTCTGCTTTAATTCATTTGAAAAAATATATAAATTCATTGAAAGCTGACTTCATCATTTCTTAAATGTCTGAACAGTATTTTGTTTGTTAACATTTTCTATGAGATCTGTCCCACATTTCTCTGAGTAGTGTAAACCGGTTAGTATGAGTTTATTAATTGCAGATAGCAGCTTTTTCAATCATTAAATCTTGATTTTCAGAAGCTGCTGAGAGCTAGCTCTTCTTTATATGATCATTAATGATGTTATTTATAAAATCAGTGAATGTCTCTCATTCATCATCTGAAGCTTCATTACAAAGCACATCTTAGCTTTCTTCAGAGTCATCATTGCTAATGAAAATCTAGCATTCTAATAGCGGGTTGCAATAAATGTTATATGAAAAACTGAGAGAATTTCTCTAACTATTATAATGAGTATCTTTTCAATCATTCTCACATATCATTTCAAACAAAAACTGATCTTTTCACTTCTGTCTGTGTGTTTTACTGATGATTGTGTGCAGTCACTGTATCAGACCTCTGTGCTGTAGAGTAGAGAAAGAATCACACAGATAATGATTGTCTTTTATAAAACATTTACTGAAAAACTGTTTCTGATCTTCTCTAAATTTTAAATGCACTGAGTCACTGCTCTCATCTTCTTTATCTGAATAAAGACATGCAATCTTCAAATAAACCTTCTATCAAAATGTACATTCAATCAATAAAATACTGACTTCTATTCAGCTGAGGCAGTGATAAAGTGAATGATGAAATTCTCAGACACAATTATCACTGATACTTCATTGTACTGCTTTTTGTACTGCTTTTTTATAATAAATCATTTCAAATTTTTCTGATGTAAAAATCATTTTGTTTATCTCCTCTCATCTCAAAATACTCTGTATATTCTGATTCAGAAAAGTGATATTATTGTTCAGTGAGTGAGACACTCATCAGATGTTCAGATCATTTATGTAATTAAAATGCAGTTTCAGATTCTGCCACAGCAGCTCTGTTAAATATAAAAAAAAATAATATTGATGATAAAAAAAACCTCTGTGATATGATACATTGCATCTGATGTGTTGCTGTGATAATTCTCTTCAACTGAATCTAAACTCTGCATTCAGTGAGAAAATTGTCAATGAGCTGTAGCAGCTCATATAATCATTCTTGCTGTGTCATTCACTAAAACAACTGTCTATACAACACAGTATTGAAAGCATTTTACACATTCATCATAATCATAAACACTTTCTTATTTTATATAAAGCTGCCTCCATTTCATGAATGAAGGCAGCTATCGGATTCATTACAGAATGTCTGAATAGCATTCTTTAACACTGCGCACTGATTATGTTATAAATGAATACTGTGTACATCAGTCATCTTGCAATGATGCATTTCAGCCTTTTGAAGATTATTGAAAAAAAGATGATGAGTCTTCAAAAACAGACTGAGCTTCTGTTTTTTTTATCTATCTTGAGTATCATTGCCACCTCTGTCAATTTTCAGATTTGTGAAAAGTGGTGAAGTCAGAGTCAGCAGTTATATAACTGCTGTATAAAAAGAAACACATACTGTCAGCATGTTTTGAGCAGCTGTATTATGATTTCATTTGTGTCTGAGAAGATGTTTTGTATCTTAATAATATTGTACTTCACCTTCTTCATCTCAATTCAGAGATTTCAAAGCAGGTTCTCCATGTCACTTCAGTACTCATCATTTAATAAATTGTACTTCAAATCATCAGCTGAATTATGTCATTTCAGAATTGTTTATTGAAATGTCTCAGCTTTGACAGCAGTTTCTTCTATGATCTGATTCTCAATCATCAGAGAGAGTGCTCTGAGATTGAGTTTCAGCTTATGTTATATTACAATTCAGTATAAATCTCTGTCATCTCTGATCTTGTTGATCATTTGCTTTCAATATGCATGTTTGGCCTTGCACATTGTGTCTTTGAATCAGTGTTTCGCGACCTCTGTCTAATGGGTGATGAGCTCTCAGTGCATTTTTCAGCAGTCTGCTGTTCATTAAAGAGCTGTAATTTATTTTTATTGAATTGATTTGCTGACTGTCTGTACTATGCTTGAGATGTAGTTGACAGTATAATGATTATAAATTGATAATCTGAGCCGCAGTGTAAATTTTGACACACTGTAGTGGAAGTAAAGATCACATTGAAAAAAATGAGATCAATCATATAACTCACTGCATGAGTTGAAACACTTACCTCTTCCACAAAGTTCATCTTATATTCACTGACTCATTGAATAAGCTCCCCTTTTCAGTGCAGATTTGTTGCCCTCAGTTCGAAGGCATCATATCACACATTGATGTCCTCATCAATCAAACAGTGGGTTGATGAGCTCAGACTGATCAGATAATCTATAACTGAACCTGTCTTAGATTGTCTGTACACATTGAAACTGTGGCAGTCATTGACCAGTAGTGACTCATAGAAGATTTCTGCTCTGCATAAATCAATGTTACTGTACTTTTATTTTTAAACTTTTATGTATATAAATCATGATTCAGAGCCTTTTCTCCTCTCACTGCTTCAGATTAATGTCATTTCAGCAGTTCATAGATGCAAAACACTCATACATGAAATGATTAGATGTTTTAATATCAGAGTGTGTGTATGATTTCTGTATGCAAATCACTTCACAGCTCTATTTAAAAGCAAGCTATAAAGCTGCTGTGTGATAAAAAACTCCTCTGACAGTATTTGCTTAAAAGATCTGCGGAAAATGATTTTTTTACTGATTGTTTCTGCAATGCCAGTCACATTGCTGATGTTGATGTTTTAATATGAAAAGTCATTTAATAAGCTGCTATCAAATTCATCTGTGAAATGAGGTTGAAAGGTTTCAAATCTGCTATCTGCATGCTGAGATTGAATTATTTTTTAATTGCTTGATTGCTCTATCGCACTGCTGTGTTAGCTGAGTGTCATCTGACGCAGATTGTTGTGAGCTGAGTGTCATCTGATGCAGATTGTCTGTCAAATGATATCATTCTCATTAATAGAGCTCTGAATAATCATCTGCTTGTAAAGTGTTAAACTCCGTGAATTGTGTTGATTGAATTGACTGTGTGAGCAGTATAGACATCATTACTGCAATCATTGATGCTGATTATATTAATATTTGTTGATGCTTCTGAGCATCTCTGTGACATCTATTATCAAACTGTTAAACAGCTGTTAATTTTTTTTTATATTAGATGTTTGAGAATGTCATTCACTCATCTGAATGCAGCAGAGCAATGCTGATGTTCAGCTGAATAGAGTTGACAGCAATTGATACATCATAACACCTTCTTGCACTTTGCATCTGTTGATCTCTCATGCTGACTTGTAAACTCACTGCAGTTGAAGCATCTCGCCAATCACATACATTTTGATAAATGACAGTATCTCTGACATTCTGAGTTATGTCTCACTGCTGAGAGCCTTTTCTCAATCAGTCTGACGCTTTCACTGATATTGAAAAGTGAGAAGTCTTTCATTGTGGTGAGAAAAGAGACAATTCATATTATCTTCTCTGTCTTCATCTCATGTTATGAGAAGTGACAGCTCACTGATTTTATCATTGTCTAAATCAAAACCTCTTTTTCAATCATTTTGTCTGGGAGGATTTTTACATCTTCTCAATTCTGATCAAATTCTGAGATCTCTGAAACGCATAATTGTACCATCATTTCAATAACTGAATTTCTGTGATGCTCAGAACTTCACAGAGAGTAGTCACTGTTTTTTCAATGATTAGAATATTATATATACTTTTATTATTTGATGTGATTGCTCAATCTGTTCTGATGAGCTTCATTTTCAACATATTAGCCACATTCTCCATTCTCTGAATGTTCATGACAATTGTCTGTTGCACAGTGTATGATTGTAGTTGAGCAATTTGTTTCTTTAACTGAAAAATGATCAGAATTCATGAGTTCTTCTGCTGCTTTATGACCTCTGTGAAGTCTCTTGACTGATTGATGTTTTCAAGCTGCAAACTAGATGTTTAATGCAGTTGAAACCAGAAAAGAACTCAATAATCATGGGGGATTTCAATGCTCATCACTCTTAGTGGAATTCAGAAAGAACTTAATCAATTAGATCTGAAAAAATAGTTAAATGAGCACTTTTAAACAAACTAGAGTTGATAAATGAGCAAGATATTCCCACCTTTCACAAGCCAGATTTGAGACAGAAATCAATTATAGATTCATGTTTTTTCTCTAAGAATCTATATAAGAATAAACATTTTAATTGATATATTGACTCAAATGAAACAAATGGTGCTGCCACTGAACATGAGATAATTCAAGTTTATATGGAATTGAATAGTAATCAAACAGTTCAAAACCCATTATATTCAAAGCAATACAATTTTGAAAAAGCTCAGTGGACAGAAGTGAAAAGAATGATTAAAAAGTTGAAATTAGAGAATAGAGAAACTCTTTATTGAAAACCAGATACAAATCTTACAGACAAAATACTTGAAGAAGAGCAAATTTAATCACTAAGATTATTTTTTCAAGTGTAAAAAATAAATTATATTCCATTGAAAAGAGTCTTTGAATTCTCTAAGCCTTGGTGGAATGATGAGATTTCAAATAAAAGAAGACATTTAGCTAGAGTTAAAAGAAATTGAAAAGAAGATCTTGCCTTATTTGAGTATTTAAAGAATATTAGAAATGATTATTTCTTGATAATTAAAAAAGCAAAGACTGATTGTTGGAATAACTTTCTAGAAAATGCTCAGAGAAAAGAGATCTTCAAAGCTTTCAGATATACAAAGTCAAAAACAATGTCTAAACTATCAACATTAACTTATAATTTTCAGAATGAGGAAATTATAGCTAGCTCATTTGAAGATAAAGATTTCCATCATCAAATAATTCAACTGAGGTTTGTTCTTTGCAAGAAGATAATGAATATGAACATGATAAGAAATGGGAATGGCCTGACTTAACTGAAGATGAATTAAAGACAGCTATTTTTTCATCTTCAAAGGTCACAGCAGTAGGAGCTGATAGTATAAATCATTTAATAATTCAAGAGCTTTATTCAGTACTAAAAGATGAGCTCTTTGAATTGTTCTCAAATCTTTTGAAATATGGGTATCATCCTAAGTGCTGAGGCATGCTGTTGGAGTTATTCTGTCAAAACCCAATAGAAAACCAACTATTCCTAAATCTTATAGAGTGATATAGCTGCTGAATTGTCTGGGAAAAATTTTGGAAAAAATAATTGCAACTAGACTGTCTTTTCTATCTACTACTACTGATTTATTATATGATGATCAGATGGGAAGTAGAAAGCAAAACTCAGCAATTGATGCAGTTTTCTCTGTAGTTCATGATATTCAACTTGCAAAGAATGAAAAAATGGTTACAACTGCAATGTTTATTGATATAAAAGGTGCATTTGATTGTGTTTCACTTTCTCAAATGATTAAAACTTTGATAGAACTGAGAATGCCAAAGTCTCTCATTAAGTGGGTTGTCTGTTTCATGTTAAAAAGAACTATTCAGTTGCCTTTTGATGGAATGAGACAACATATAACAGATATTGAGATAGGAGTTCCTCAGGGTTCCCCAGTCTCACCCATTTTATTGGCTATATTTATCAAGTTTCTGTTTATTGATAGACAAATGGCAATTATAGTGAGAACTCCAAGCTATGTGGATGATTTGGATCTAATTGTAAACTCAAAATCAATTGTAAATAATTGCAATTTGATTGAGCAAGCAGCAACTGAAATGATTGAAAAAGCAAAATTAAAAACCATCGTTTTTGATATGGATAAAACTGAATTAATTCATTTTTATCCAAATTTCAAAGAAAGAGATACTGAAGTTAAGCTTTTAAATCATTCAGTTAAACTAAAAAATTCAGTTAGATAGCTTGGTGTCTGATTAGATTCTCAGTTAAATTTTAAATCTCATGTTGAGATCAAAGTTGCAAGTGCTGAAAGAATCTTAAACAGTATTTTTCAAATACTGAGAAAGGCTTGTCTTTTCAAGCAATGAGACAATTATATATTGCTTGTATAAGCTCTGTTTCAGACTTTGCAGTTCAAATATGGTGGAAAAATCAAAAGAGTTTTGTAGAGAGGTTTCAAAAGATTCAAAATTCAGCTTTAAGAAAAATATTGGGGGTATTTAAAACCTCTTCAATTAAAGCCATGGAGATTGAAGCCTCTCTACCACCACCACAAGTGAGATTTCATAAAATCTGTATGAATTATGCTCTCAAAATTATGAAGTTGTATCCCAATCATTCAATTAGAAAAAGAGTCTCAACTTCTTTTCCAAGTGAATCAACTGGAGTAGATCTGAATTGGGAGTCATATTTTGATTGGAATGAAATAAATTCATCTGATAATTCAACATCTGTGCAAAGAAAGAAGATACCATCTCAGTTATTTAGAATTTGCTCCATGATAAAAAGCGGTTTCTCTAGTTAAATGTGGAGAAAGTGGTCTTTGAAAATCTCTCTCCTTGGAAGAAAGATCTTGTCAGTCTTATTGATTTAAATATTAGTCAACTTTCAAAAGAAGTTCAGACTGAACAACATCTATATCTTCTAAAACAAATGAAAAACAAAGCAATTCTTATATACACTGATGGCTCAAAATGTGAGAAAACAGGCAATCTTGGAGCTGGAATAGCATATTCAGAAAATGATAAAAACTATATTCTTGATTGTTGGCAAATTGGAAAAGAGTCAGAAGTTTTTAATGCTGAATTATTTGCAATTTCAAGAGCTTTCAAATTGGTTGAGATGAAGATTGAACAATGGAAAAGATTTGAGCATATTTGGATATTCTCTGATAGTCAAGCTGGGCTTAAAAGACTTCAAAGTAATAAAATCAGCAGTGGACAGTCAATGCTAGAGCTGATTTTGAAAAGTCTTCAAAATATTCAAAGAAAAATCTCATTCAGTTGTTCTATTCATCTTCACTGGGTGCCTGCTCACATGGGTATATATGGCAATGAAATGGCTGATAAAGCTGCACCACCTCATTTTCATCCCCTCATCATCTCCTCACCCTGCCGTATAATCTCCTCTATCTACCCCTTCTGTCAATCCCCTCTACCCCCTCCTGTCACTCCCTTCTATCCTAACAGCGCCTACTATCTGTCCCTCCCTTCTTCCTTTCTTTTGTTACTCTACTTTCTCTAATTCCTTTTCCTTTGTTCCCGCTCCCATTGCAAGGAACAGCTCTAGCTGACTTGCCCGGTACCCTGCAGATGAACAGGATAGTTAACACCACTGTGCACAAGGTTTTTCAAGGCGCAGTGGGGTTTTCCTAGCTAGACATATGGTAGCAGAACCGCATATCCATTGGATGAAAGCGGAGTATAATAAATAATAATAATAATAAAGCCAAAATGGAAAGCTTGCTCAATAAAATGTAAAAAGAAACTTTTTGCTACAATAATGCAGCTAAAACTTGGACATGGTTATTTTAAATCATATTTAACAAAGATTAGAAATGATTTAAGTGATTTATATTCAGATTGTCAGTTATATGAAAACCCAGAGCATCTTCTTTTACTTTATACAAAGCATACAGAGTTAAGATTGAGATTGAGAGAGAAGTTTGAATTGACACAGTTAAATTTAAAACTTTTGTTCAATACAAAAACTGGAAATGAATTCTTGATTGAATATTTGAAAGAATCAAATATTGCTACAAGATTTCAATTGAATAGTTTGATCTGATAATGAATTCAATTTTTGTTTTTCTTTTTTTCTTTTGTTTCTATGTATTTGCTTTAATTTTTGTTTTTGTTTTTATTTTTATTTGGTTACTTTTGGTTTTGACTTGTTTTGAAAAATTTGATTTGTGAATGCTTTCTTTTCTTTTAATAGCTGCTGTTTTTTATACTTTTTATTTCATTTGTTTTAAATTGAATGTATTAATCTGTTGTCATTCTTTTGACATTCTTTTTAAATTGAATAGTTTGGATAGTTGTTTGATTCTGGGCTGGAATTCTGCTATTGCATGTATTAAATTGACTTTGTATATTAGCTTATTCTTAAGTTGAAAAATCCTGGAGTACTTCAGGTAGATGTCATAGTCACTGACTGCATGCATCTATAATGGAAGAATAATAATAATAATAATCTCATTTAAGTTCATTATATTTTTCTATAATGATGGGTGGCTGTCAGTTGAAGGTTCTTTGTGAGGGGAATGAATCCTCCGCTGAAGATCGGAGCAGGTTTGTATGAAAGACTTTGTAAATGTCGTTGAGTTGATAATTATATATGGTCGGAACCTTCATCACAGTATATTTGATGTGATGATAATTTAATGTATATGAGGAGCAGTTCATTCTTATATTCTGGAAATTTAATTAAATTTTATCTTTTACATAATATCAGATTGCAGAACTTCTTCTGATGTTCATTTAATTTTTATAATTTTATTAAATATTGATTATGAAAGTCTCTACAGATGCTCCTGCAAAAAGTTTTGTCTCGCCCTACTAAGCACTAAAAACGCCACAATTTTCTTCTTAACACTGAAGATCCTGTATCTCATTCTTTTATTATCATTCAAATTAATAAGCTACAGTGTAATTAGTGAAGTCTTCCTTCCTTATATTCATTGCCACCTTCTAACTCTATAACCTTTTTAATATGAACAGGAATCCGCTCTATCCAAGCCTGAATCTGCTCCTGTGGTAGATCCCTCCATGTTCTTTCCCATATTGCTATAGCTGCTGCCCGGTTCTGTGGAGCTCCTTTGACAGTTGTTTTTCGTTTCATCCAGGTCCAAGCAGGTTCAATCATATTGAGATCTGGGGAATTCGCACACCAGAGCATCCGTTGAATGTGATGAATCTCATATATATGATGTTAGATATAGTGATCATGAGCAGGAGCTCGATCCTCCCGGACAATGGTATTTGGACGTTCTTTTTCACACTCATTGGCAAAGGGAAAGAGCTTTAGAAGAAGGATTTTGACCTGATATCGATACCAATCAATTCCATTACTTTTGCCACGGGATAGCTTGCCTGTCTCTTTCTTCCACTTCCATATTGGTTGAGGTCCTGGCAGTTGAAGGTTTAAACATCGTATTCTATTTTGAAGCTCCCATTCTGCTTTCTTAATTGGTTCCATCATTTCATTAAGAGAATCTATATCCTTTACTGACTGAGCCTTTTCTTGAGCAGTTTCCGGACTCCAGCAGTGACAGGGACCCTTTTTATCATATGAGAAACAACCCCAGAATATGAACTCTGAAGACCCCTTCCATCGCTCGTGTATGCAACTTCGAGAAAATCTTTCCTTGGAGGTTCTCCAAATTCGATATCCTCTACAGTAATGAAGCAATATAACAGATGTCTCATCTGACCATATAACTTTTTTCCAATCTTCTAGAGTCCAATCTTGATGATTTAAACACCACTGAAGTCGTTCATGTTTCATTTTATTGGTCAAGCCAGGTTTTCGAGTAGGTTTGGTCTTTTTCATGCCTGCTTTTCGCAAGATCTCAGTGTTGGGTGCAATATTAAAGCCCTCCTCACTGAGTTCAAGAGCAATATCAGCACAGGATTTCTCCCGTCCATATCGATTTCAGCGCACCTTCGCTAATACTTGCTCTCGAATAGAAGAAGTCTGTTTTGTAGGTCTGCCACTGCGGGGGGCATCTTGAAGGAATTCATCACGGATAGTAAGATAGAGGAGATCAGGGTTGAAGCCACGTTCAAGAGCTTTGGCATATATATGGTTGATTTGGCGAGCAGAGAGATTTGTAATATTCATGATCTCAGTGGTAGTTTTTGCAATATAAGGTGATTTGAGAGCCACCACGAGCGCCCGAGTGGCGATATCAGTATTGGAAGCCAGGATTGAAAGCAGCACTGATGATGAAAAGATAACAAACTGAGGCAATAAAAACTAGGTGGGAGCCTCTTATATTTTAAATGAGGGGTAGTTTTATTACATTTTAATACTGTGGTGATGCTCACTATCGAATATAGCGGTTTTTTAATTATTTTGGCGAGACAAAAATTTTTGCAGCGGCTTCTGTACTCATTTATGTGCTTTTTTATAAACTTGTTTACAATGTTCTCTGCCACTTGTATGAAGCTGCAGATGTATGTGGTTTTTCAGAGATTTTCAGAAAAGTTTAGAACTTTTAAATTATATTCATGCAGAAAAAAGAATGAGCTTTTACTTATTATAGCAAAATCTCAGCTGTTAATCATAATCTCGGTGTGTGGCAGCGGATGGCTTCAATTATTTTATATATAATTGCAGAATTTATAAAAAATGTTTTTTACTGTTTGTATCATTCTCTCTGTGCCTTCATCAATCTCTGAATGATACACTGTTGACAGTTATCACTCAATTCCTAGCAGGTGATATATGCAGGTTTAAATTGCACTGACAAATTGACTTGTCTCTATCTGATACAATAGATAAAGGCAGATTGTGTATACAATAAAACAAGCTTTTGATAAAAACATCTGCAACTACTTCAGCATCTATTTTGTCACAGAGTTGCAGTATTACATCCTTGCTGAGCTAATTGACAATGACTAAAATGTTTATAGAACCTCCATTTTCAGATAGAGAAATTGCAAAATTGATTGCTATATCACATCAGATTCATTCAGAGACAGACAGAGGTTTTAACATTTCTTTTCATTGTTTGCACTATACTGTTACTGAGTCACAGTGATTGTAATTGTGTACAAATTGATGTATGTTTTTAAAGGATTATTATTATTATTATTATTATTATTCTGTTATACGTGGG